CCCGCCCCAGGCGTTCACGGGCGGGGAGGCGGGGCGCGCGGGCGCACTGCGCCCAGGCCCCACCGCCGGCTCCTCCACCCGGGCCGGCAGGGGCTCCGGGGCCGGGCGCGCGCGGGGCCCGGCGCCGTCGGCCGGCGCGGCGGCGGGCGGGGGCGGCGGGGCGAGGGGGTACTGCGCCGCCCGCGGCGCGCCCAACGGCGGCGCCGGGGCCGGCGAGCCGTCCCTCCAGAGCGCCGCGTGCGGCGCCGGCCGCCCGTCGCTGGGCCAGCGCTGCACGGGGGCGAGCCAGGGCTCTGCGTCCAGCAGCCGCTCCACCAGGTCCGGCACCTGCACGGGCGCGGGCGGCGGTAGGGGCGGCAGGGGCCTGCGCCGGTGCGGGCGGGGCCAGCGCCGGCCTGGGCGGAGCCTGCCCGCGCCAGCCGTGCCACGCGTCCAGCGCCAGTCCGGGGTCGAGGCCGGGGCCGGGCGCCGGCGCGGCGTCGCCCGGCGCGGCAAAGCCCGGGGGCTTGGGCGTGGGGTTCTGCCACCGCGGCAGCACATCCTTCAGCAGCTGGAAGGCGCCGCCCGACCCCGCAGGGCGCAGCTTCAGGTCCATGGGGAAGAAGCCGGCCTCGTGCCTGGATGTCCGGGCGGGTGGGATGCGTGGTTAAGGGATGCGAGTAGCCTGCTGGGCAGGGTACGATCTCCTACGCTTTCCTAGCCCCAAAGCTCCACAGTCTCCCCCGTCGCTCCAGTCCCGGGCATGCAGTGGGATCCCCGAGGCAGCGTGGGAGCCGGCGACGACCACAACCCGGTCCCCTCCGCCCCGCACATCAGCCACGCCAGCCACGCGCCAAACCCACCACTCCAGCATCTCCGGGACCGTGAAGGGCCCCTGGATCTCGCCACGGGGGTCCTGGTACTCCCAGGTCGCTGCGGCGGCGGGGGCCGGCGCAGCAGCCGGCGGGGCCGCCTCGGCCGCCTGGGGCGCAGCAGGCGCGGTTGCGGCCGGCGCCGGGTGAGCCTCGGCGTGCGCGGTCGCCCGGGGTTCCTGCGGCGGCTCGCCGTGGTCGTGCCTCGCCTCCTCCAAGCCCAGCGCGGCGAAGCGGGCCGCGCTGTAGGCATTGATGCCCCGGAACTCTGCGTCCGGGGCGGTGGGGTCATGGGTGAGGTGATGGAGTGGGGTTCCAGGTCCAAGGTTGGCCCAGCCGCTCGGTATCCCCCAACCCTTCCCCGCGTCAAAGACAAGCTGGCAGGGCAGACTGGCCTCTACTACCGGACATCGTACGGGGCCCCTTCGCCCAGGCTGACGGGCGCCCACGCCAATCTCCTCCTCCCTTGGTATCCATCCACATCACCCTCCATCAACCCCCTCGGCTGGCATCCCCCTCCCTTCCTCCCACCCCTGCCCCAGAACAAACAAGCACGCACCCTCAAACAGGCGCGCCACCTCCTCGGGGTCCACGCCCTCCAGCTGCTCCACCACATCCACAAAGTCACCAGGGGGAAGGAAAAAGTTGGGCTCTTCGCGCGCCAGCCCCCGCGGCAGCCGCAGCTGGCCGCTGTACATCAGGCGGCGACACAGCCGCGCCAGCGTCTCGGTGGAGTAGCGGTGGCGCGCGCAGGAGGGGCCCATCCGCATGGTCCCGCGCGTGCCGCCGCCTGGGCCAAACCCGCGGGCCCGGGGCCGGGCTGGGGTCCGGTGCTCCGCGCCCGTGCCCGCACGCCGCCCATACCCGCCGGCGCCGAGGTCGCCGAGGGCGGGGCCGACCAGGCCCGGGCCGGGCAGGGGCGGGGGCGGAAGGGGGGACGCGCCGCTACGCCAGGTGTCGCCGCCGGGGCGCACGGCGCGGGGCTGGGGGTGGAGTCGGCCTCGGGCGCCACTCAGGTCCTCTGCATTGTGGGTTTGGAGGAGGGGTCAGGGGAAAGGGAGGCAGTGATCATTGACGAGGAAACACCAAGGGCAGGCATGATCACGCCGCTGGGACACCCGGTGCAGCAGCGAACCAGTGGGCACAGCGCGCAAGGCTTCCCGCTCCCTGCCGGCCAATCCAGGCCTAACAAGCCCCCTGACCCCGAGCTCACCATCCCCAGGCACTGGCGCTGGCGAGTGCTTCCAGCGATCCACGCGCCACTCATCACCGCCACGGGGGTCGAGCGCACGCCAGTCGCCGCCGCCCTCCCTGTTCACCCAGCCGTCCCGTGGCTTGGGATCGCTGCGCCACCCCGGCTCCTCGCCCCAGCGAGGGGGCTCGGCGGGGCGCACGCCGGCCGGAAAATGCTCCCTCCCCCTCCCCAGCAAGTGCAGGGAGGGGGAGGCGTCCGCCGGGGGCTTTGCTGCCATCCTTGCCCCTGGGGCCCTCCAGGGGACCTGGTTGGGCCGTGGAGCATCCTGAAGGAATGAATGTCATCATGTGGAGGGAGTGAGTATCGAGCGGGAGGCATACATCCAGATTGCAAGGCGGACTCGTGAGGAGCCTCGCCACCCCTTGCCTTGGGCTCCACCATCCATTCCGGACTGAGCTTGGTGCTGTCATCGGCCCCGAAGACCAGCCGAGTCTTAACATCTGGGAAAACGAGGAGGAGTGAATGAAGACGAAGCAGCAAGGCACGGCATATAGGGAAGCCAGTGTTGGAGCGCGGCGCACCATCAGAAAGCTGTGAGGATGACATGGCGCTCTATGATTCTTCAGAGAGGGTAGATCGCAGTTGAAGTTTTGCTGCGAATTGTGCGAGCGTCTGACAGGATTTGGTATGTGTCTGCCGGGCTAAGCCCCCAATGCGGGGATGGGGAGGCCGTCTGACGGGGCAGCCGAAAGAAATCTGGAGGGAAGGCCGAGAACCGATTCGAAAGGCTTCTCAGTCGGGAACGTATGCTGCCATGCGCGATCAACATTCTGTAATCCGAAAGCACCCATTTTAACGTCCCTTGGGTTCCCGGAGACTACAGGATCACTGTCCCAGGCGTTCGAAGGTCGGGTAAAACCTGTATACCGCACCCCCTCCGCCGTACTCGACGATGGCAGCGCTGACAGGGGATCTGAGGGCACTGCGGGACTATGTCATGACTCCAGGGGACATGCAGAATCAATCAGATAGCACAGTGCTGCTGAGCGTAACGCATAGCAATCTGAAGGCTCGCTTCATGGAGATCCGGTTCGACCGCCATGTGCGTTGGTTGGTTGTGGGGGTGGGGGGCACACCTGCAGGCCCTGCTTGCCAGCCCAGTTTTTGGTGCAAGATGATCACCATGTGTCACAAACTCCTATTATATATCTCCATTTGACAGATGACGGTCTCGGCTGTGAAGGACAAGCTGTGCTTCCACACCGGCTCTGCACCCTCAGCCATGACTCTCAGCCTGCGAGCAGCCGGTGGTGGAGCCAGTACAATACTACAGAATGACAAGAAGCTGGGCTACTACTCACCACAAGACAGGTACGTGTGCCTGCATTCCCAGGGGCGCTGCAGACGGTGTCGAAATATTATTCCAGAGAGGTGCCATCTCTGGGGAGAATGGTGTGAAATTTGCAGTACAGGTGTGGACCTCTTCCCATGCACCTGCAGCCTCGATCCCTTGCACATCTCTTCACCAGGGACACACTTCATGTGGAGGATCTCGACCCCACATCAGCGTCTCGCAATGGCTGGCTGGAGGACACATCCAAGGTGGAGAAGTATGTCATGAGCGACGAAGACTACAATCGCCGCGATGGCACCTATCGGTGAGTGCTGGCCTGGATCCTCACCGTAGACAGAGTTGTGATGTGATGGTGGGCACGGCTGCCAGGAATCGGTCATAGCTCTGCTGATGACCAGCAATCAAGCCACTCATGTGCCCTGCTCGGTTGGGATCCCGATGATCACAGGAAGTTCAAGGAGACCAAGCTGCAAGAGGACCCCACATGGACGCTGGAGAAGGAGATGGAGGCAAGGTCCAAGGTACTTGGGAACCTGACAAATGGAGCTGTGTGTTCTGTCTGGGGACTGGGGGTGAAGGGGACTGCTCAATACTGTGTCCAGCGTTAACCCATCTGAAAATTCCCACCCCCCAACTCAGGCCAGGGGCGCAACTGGCCCCGCGCCACAGGGTCCGGCCCCAGACGACTCGTTCCAAGAGGAGCCGGCCGCCGGCATCGCCGTGGGCACGCGGTGTGAGGTGCAGGGCGGGCGAAGGGGCACCGTGCGTTTCGTGGGCCGGTGTCCAAGCCTGCCCGCCGGCTTCTGGATCGGCGTCGAGGTGGGTTGGTGAACGACCCAGGGGAGGGGTTTGGCAGGGGGTGCCTGTTGTTCCCGTCGACAGCTTCTGCCACGGACCGCTCAGCTTTGTTTGCCTGGACGCCCTATGATAGGCTTGCTGAGCCCGTTATCCGCATCCTATGTCCTTTTGCCATGGCAGTACGACGAGCCCGTGGGCAAGAACGACGGCAGCGCGCGAGGCCACCGCTGCTTCACCTGCGCACCGGGCTACGGCAGCTTCGTGCGGCCAGACCTGGTGAAGGTCGGGGACTTCCCCGCCCACGACTTTGCCTTCTCCGACGACGACGAGATCTGAGGTGGGAGGGGGGGCAGCAGGGGTAGCCTGCTCACCAGCAGTAGGGCGTGCTGCCTGCTACCAATCCATTCACCCTGCGCACCCTGCTCTGCTGAGGGAGGCATGTACACGGCACGACTGTACCAGAGCAATGGAACACACACTCTGTCGATGCAAGCACGCGCTGAGAAAGTACACGGGGCAGGGCAATGTGATGGGGGCAACGCATGTGCATAGTCACACAGGCAGGGCTCCATGGCGCTTTCATGTCCTCCGGCCGTGGTCGCCCCTGCCGCTCATCGTTCAAGTATGCACGAGTGTGGGGGATGGCCAGTGCAAGTCAGGCAAGCGACCTCCCTCCCACCCTGCATGCGCCACTGGCCGCCAGCTTCAGGCGACGTCGGCGTCGGTGCACGCCAGCGCGGCCGCGGTCCCCAGCTCCGCGGGCCGCACGCCGGCGTTGCACAGGTTGGCAAAGGCCCTGCTGTGCCGCATGCCATACTGGTCCAGCGCCCCGCACACACCCTCCCAGGCCCCGACCATGTCCTGCAGGGGGTGCATCTTGTCGTTACTCATCACGATGGTCTTGAGAGGGGGCATGCCATGCTTGTGACAGACTCGGCCCTGAATCACAGCTGCAAACCTAGGAGGTCGGGTGACGGGCACGCGCAAACACTCTTGGACCTCACCGGTCTGCGCTCAGCCAGACTCAGCAGGCTTTTCTGAGTGGAGGCCCACACCCGCCAAGCAATCAGCTCCTCCCCGCTCCTCATCAACAGCACCACTCACCCTGAGGCAGTCCCAGTCGTCCACCACTGGCCGCCCCTCCCGCCCCGGCAGCTCCCCTGCGTAGAGCAGGTCTGGGGCGTAGAAGGCGGGCGCGGCGCCCAGGCCGGCCGAGGGGGCGCCCTTGCGTCCCGCCGCGCCCCGCCGCGCAGCCGAGCGCCGCCCGTCAGCCACGGCGCCCACCGCCCTCGCCACGCGCGCGTCCAGCGCCGCCCGCGCCCCCAGCGCGGCCGCCAGCGCGCGCTCCGCCTCAGCGCGCTTGGCGCTGTTTGCCGGTCCCTCGCGCCACACCGCCGCGTACAGCGGCGCCAGGTCGGCGTCGCGCTGCGGCACAGCGCCCTGGGGACCGAGGCGCCGGCGCCGAGAAGACTCGGCGCCGGCGTCGGCCACCTGGGCACCCACCCACGCCCCGGCCCCGGCGTGGCCCCACGCGGCTGGCCCCTGCTCGGCGTCGCCCAGGTACTCCGCCACGGACTGCGTGCCCATGCTGAGCTGGCCGAAGCGCTGCGCGTGGCTGCCCTGCTGGTAGGTGAAGTTCTGGGAGGTGCGCAGGCGCACCGCCTGGAACTGCTCCTTCAGCGTCTCCACGCTCAGGTTGGCCTCGTCGGCGTCCTCCAGCCAGGCCACGCTGTACAGGTCGCCCAGGCAGGTGAGCAACTCGGGCGGGGGGCTGGGGCTCTGGCCGGGGCAGTAGGTGCCCCACGACGACTCGCGCGCGTTGGCCGCCGTGGTGGCAAAGACCGAGATGTCCTCGGGCAGCAGGCCCTCGAACATGGACCCAGACTCGCAGGCCTCCAGGTAGCTGCAGAGCGAGGGCGGGTGTGAGGGGAAAGGGGGGGGGGGGGTTCAGGATCTCGGGATCTCGCAGTGCCTTCTCCAAGGGTGAGGGCGAAGGGCATGATCAAGGCTGGGCATAAATTTTTTGGGGGGGGGAGCGCTCGAGGCCAACAGCAGTGAACACATACTGAGCCATGCGCTGAGTCTGAAGCTGGGATCAGGCACCCCCCTGGTCCAGCCGCTCACATGACCATGTGCTCGTAGCCGACGCCGGAGCGAGACTTGATGACGGACAGCCACTGATCGGCGAAGAGGAAGGGGCCGGAGGGCATGCCGACAATGCCGGGCGCACCGTGGTCGCTGCATCAGGGTGGAAGGAGGCTTGGGTGAGTCGCGGCATGGTGCTGGGGTCAGAGAAAGGCTCCGTGCCGAGAAAAGGATAGGGGCCACGGCAGGACACATAGCTGTCAAGCAGATTGCCCACATGCCGCTGCCGACAGGTATTTGAATCCTATGATCCCTGAATACACCCCACTCACAGCGGGCAGCGACATTCCTGCCTCACCTGTAGTAGACAAAGACATGGTCCTGGGGCCCGCTTTCCAGCACCCGGCCGTTGGCGATGCTGCTGATCTCGATGCCGGAGCGGTTGCCGGCAAGCACCGCCAGGAAGTTCAGGGCATTGACTGCGGTGCCGCTGTAATCCTGAGGTGAGGATGGAAGAGGGTACTTGTACACAATGTCCAGTCGTGCCTCTGAGCGTGAGTATGTGTTCCATCCATCCACATGGCTTGCCCAGTCGTGCAAAAGAAGCTCTTGCCCAGGCGGCTTACCACGCGGAGGCCTTGGTAGACGTCTGGCCCACCAGGCGCGTTGAACAGCTTGTTGGGGTGGGGGTTCATGGGGTGCCGCGCGACGTCATCGAACATCATGACGATAATCCTGTCCTCCTTGATGCCGCCGCGAAGGAGCACCTGGTAGGCCTGTCCCGGGAGAGAAGGGGGAGGGGGAAAGGGGAAGGGTTGGGTGGAGTACGGGGTTGAAGCTGAAACAGCGACATCTCTCCCGACTCGATGGCCCAGCTCCTACATGTGCGACATCAGCCTGATGTCGGTAGTTCCCCCAGCCATTGCTCCCGGCGATCAGCAGCGCCCAGTTTTCCCCTGCGAAAGACGACAAATGGGGTTTCGTGCAGGATTTAAGCGTCAGCGTCGGGTGATTGGCATCACTTACGCGTATGAATTCCACACCCGCAGACGAAACTGACCCTGGGTCTCATTTGAAACAGAACCCTGCAGCAAAACGGCATTCCGCCCGTCCGCTGAGGCCCGAGCGATATCCAAGGCCACCAGGTAAGTGCGAGGATAAGCTGCTTTCGCATCGTCGCGATCTATGCTGAGGCTTTAAAAGTAGATTTTCGGACCTTTTCGTGATCGTTTGCGTGTCGCGATGGGTGGCGAGGTCATCAAATTTGCCAGGTCCACTCCCAGTCAGCTGCGCGCGCTCCGGGATGCCCCCAGCGTTCAGATCACATTCTCCCAGACGCCTCGCCGGTATGGATTGGAGTCTCGCCGCTCTGGCCACACTGATGCGATACTCAGATATTTGAAGTGGAGTATTAGCCCGACCAGGGCTCGGATGTGAGATCACAGGTATGTCGATGAATTTTGAGGCCTCCATGAAGGCATGAAGGGGCACAACGACATTCACCACCATTTCATTCAGCTTCTCTACAAGAAACTCGAGCTGGAGGATTTTCTCTGCACAACTTCATGCGCTCATCGTGCCTTGTGTTAGCAGGGCCTGATCGGCAACCCAGGCGCCCACAGCCGGCATGCTGGTGGGGCTGATCAGCGACACACATGGTGTCTGCGATGACCAAATCATCCACGCCTTCAGGGACGCGGGCGTCGAGCATGTGGTCCATGCCGGCGATGTCGGCCATCACGGAGGCCATGCAGGTGGGAACTAGCACCTACGAGATGCACGGCACAAGGCCAGCATTCTAAGCATGGTAGAGGATCTCCTGCTGCTGTGCGCAGCTCACTCTCATGCAGTCCTGCAGCCTCCTGTCACTCTTCGCACCCATGCAGAGGTGCTGGAATGGCTAGCACCAATTGCCCCAGTGACGGCAGTCCGTGGGAACGTGGACGATGGGCCAGACGTTGACCTGCCACAGCATGTTGTGCTCCGCCTGGCCGGCTGGACCATGCTGGTGCTGCACATCGCCGGCATGCCGCCCAAAGGTGGGACCCTATTGGATGGGGATACGCTGGGCCCTTCCCCGCTCGGCATGGTACCTTGGCAGCCTAGTCTAGAGTGCGGGTGGAAAAATTGCTCACTTGCATCGTCTGAGCCCCTTCCTTTACCCTCCCTGCTCCGGCAGTCTCCAAGGAAGCACAGGCGCTGATCGCTCTCCATGACCCAGAGATTGTGGTGACCGGGCACAGCCACAAGTACTCTGTGGAGAAGTGCCCGGCAGGCCGCCTCTTCATCAACCCTGGCTCAGCGGGACCCGCCCGCTTCAAGCTGCCTCGCTCCGCCGCCATCCTGGCCCTCACAGAGACACAAGGCGAGGCAAAAACTGATTGGAAGAAGTTCTTGGCGGCCTGGCACCGCAAGGGTAGCCTCTTCATTGCATGCTGGCCTCATTGTGTAGTGGTGCCGCCAATCGCTCCACGTCCCTGTACCCCCACACCACTTCCCACCACTTCAATGACCCTCTGCAGATACATTCCCAGACCCAGACGTGAGGTACATTGCACTCCCTGCAAAAGGGCCAGCCCGGGCCACAGGCGCGACCCGTGGCGCCAAGCGGAAAGGCATGGGGCGCAGCAGGCGCAGCAGGCGCAGCAGGCGCTGCGCCCCCCTACGCGGCCCCGGCCACGGCCGCCCTCTTGAAGTGGAGGGGGGCCCTGAGGAAGGCCGGGGTGTCGGGGACGCTGAGCGCGCAGCCCACGCCCTCCCAGGCACCGCCCTGGCGCCCCGCCCGCCGCCCCGCGTAGTAGAGCCGCCAGCGCCCCGCCGCCATGGACACGGGCCAAGGCGCGCCCACGGACCCCTCGTCCCAGGCGCCCTCGCCGCCCGCTTCGGAGGATGGGGTCCGGGGTACGCTGCCAGTCGCCCAGACCGTCGGGCGACACCGCCAAGCCGATGGAGCGGGTGTTGTCGGCGGCCACGGCCTCGTAGAACATGAAAAAAGCGCGGGAATCCAGGTCCTGGACCACGCAGTGCGCCGTCGCCCCCGCGGCGTCATGGCCCTCTCCTCCCTGGCGTGGAAAGGGGGGATCAAGGTGCAGATCGGACTGGCTGGCCCTCACGCCCGAGGAGGCCACAGACCAAGCTTCTGCAAGCAAGCTGCTGGCCCATCATCCCTACCACCACCACTCCCACCCCACGGTACCTGGAAGATGGGACCCGTCTTCTTCCACCGAAAACCGTCCTCGGAGCGAGCCAGGCCAATCACAAAGCGGCCCAGGCCCTCGTCCCACGAATAGTAGTACATCCTCAGGTCGTTCGGGCCAGCCGCCACCACCTGCGACGGCGGGGCGCACCCGTGGCGTGGGAGGCGGAAATCTTGCGATGGCCTTGGAACATGCTATCCCGTGCCTCCCATAACCTGCAAGGAGCCACAATGAGCTCCTGCGTTCCTTGCTCTAGCAAGCAAGGCGATGCAATCCCTGGGAAACCCCGGTCCGGCCACCTGCGGCCCGGCGATGAAATGGGCGTCCCACTCGCCCGATTGACCCACGGGGAGCACGGTCCCACTGGGCTCGTCGGAGGTCTCTATCCTGGCCCACACCCGCGCGTTTGGCGACATGGCCAGCCCCGGCTGCGTCCGCCAGCCCTTGGTCAGCTCGCCGGCGCCGGCGCCCAGGAGCCGCGCCAGGCGCGGCGGCAGCGGCGCCTCCTCCTGCGACCCTCCGGCCGTGAACATCCAGTACACGCCCGCATCGCTCCTGCCCCCCTGGCTGTCGCCCAGGATCTGGACGTCGGAGACGCTGATGTGGCGCGTGTCGAAGGACCACCAGGCCTCGGCGTTGGGGCCCAGCACCCGGCCGACGTCCGACGTCGCGGGGCGCCCCTCTCCCCCGTCACGGCCTCCATGCTCCGCTGCCAGCGCAGGCCATCCTGGGAGACCGCCAGGCCTGTGAGAGGGGTGGCGGGAGGGTTCAACAAAGCTGGCAGCAGCCGTTGGGGGTGCCAGGAGCAGGCTGGCGTCGCTGGGATGAGAGAACCTCAACCCATGACGACACACCGTGCCCGGACTGCATGCCACGACCCATGCGCATCCCCAACAAGGAACAATTATACACCTACTCCTACTGAAAGCCCGGAGTCGTATCGGCATAGAGCATGCATGAACACAGAGCCAAGCCTCACCGACGCTGCCAGATCCAGGGAAGAGGGCGTCCACGCCAGGGTCATCCTCGGTGCTATGCCCGCTGTGCCACATGTACCACTGCTCCCTGCCCTCTGACAGGTAAAATCGCACGACGGGGGTGCCAAGCCCTCCATCGTCCCACGCTCCCGGGTCTCCTGCGGGAGATGCGAGACGAGCGAGGTGTTGGGCTCTGTAGATCTGTCGAGCAATACTTCACACCCTCACCAGCCCAGGAGCAACATTTCACCTTTGGACATGACCCGTCCCGCAGTCTTTAAAGGGGCAGATACGCTTGCACGTGGAGCGAGGCGACTTGGCCGCGGCTGGGGCCGTCCATGGCGCCCATGGCTGACAAGCCTGTGCTCGTGTGCATGGCTCCATGATCTTACAGACAAACTCATGCTCGAGGGCACTGTGATCGCCGCCATCCTGAGAAATCTTTGAGTCAGGAAGATGATAATGCTAATTGTAATATCGATATGGTGGAGACCCTAGAGCTGGGTCCGGTGTTGAGGAGAGTGGGATTCGACTCGACATGGCGGTCTATCTTGGTGACCCCATCGCGCCCTGGGTTTGATCCATTTAAAATGGGCATCGCAGGTTGACTCTTGGAACGCAGTGCAAATGCAGTGCGCGCCGAACTGGAGTTACGAAGAATGTGAAATATCGACATACAACATGTTTGCGCCACGCAGCCCCGCTTCGAGCGTCACCAGTCTCGGCAGCGTGCTCGGTGCCGAGGGCCTTGACGACATCCTTCTCCAAGGCCCAGAGACAGACCACGGGCGGGCAATTCCCGAGAAGGATTTTACTCTCCGAACTAAGCGATGGGTGCTGGATGACATTTCGGGAGCTCAACCGGAATGCGGAACGAGGATGCCCCAGGCGGGGGACAGCTACGAGGAGAATGCAGAGCCCAACACCCAGCACCGCAGAGTATGCGAGTTAGGGTGCATATTTATGTGGTGACGGATATCTCAGCTCCAGGTCTGGGGCCAATATGTCTTCCCATTCTCCCACAGACCGCTCCCTACATCAGCACCAAGCCTGCTGCCACTTACAATGGTGCGGCCAGCTCAGAGGTACGGGCTCTACATGGTGGGGCACCCCATACAGCAAAGCACTTTACTGCTTGCTTACGAGCGCCAGGAGCGACAACCGCTTCCCTGCCCCCCCTCAACCGCAGGAGGTTCTGACGAGGCGCATAACCCAGCTGGAGGCCCAGCTTGACGACGCCCTGGCGCTGTCGGCGCGGCAGCGGCTGGAGCTGGAGGCCGCCGAGGCCACCGCGGCCGCGAGTGCGAGCTCCGCCGCCGCCGCCGCGCGGGAGCGGGCGAGCAGGGCGGAGGCCGAGCGACAGGCGACCGAGGCGCGGTGCCGCACGCTCGAGGCCGAGCGGGAGGAGGCGGCTGCAGCCTCGCAGCGCCAGGCCGAGCGGCTGGCCGCGCTGGAGCGGGCTGCCACGTCGGCGCGGGAGGACGCCGCGGCAGTGCGCGACCTGGCCCGTCACTCGGGCGACCTCCAGTCCCAGCTGGCGCGTGCGCAGCGCCAGCTGGCGGAGGAGCGCGGCCGCGCCGCACGCGCGGCCGCCTCCCACGACCGCCGCCTGGCCGAGGCGCAGGAGGCTGCTAGGCAGAGCCTGGTGCAGGCGCGGGAGGAGGCGGGGCTCGAGGCCGCCGAGCTGCGCGCGGCGGCGGACGCAGCGCGGACGACCGCGGAGGAAAGCGCGGCGCGAGCCGCCGTGGCCGAGGTGCGGATCGGTAAACTGGAGGCCGCTGCTGCGAGGCGCGAGGCGGAGCTGGACGCGGCCGCCGCCGACGTGGCGGCCACGCAGCGGGAGCTGGCGGAGGTGCGCGCCGGCCTGGCCGCGCGGGAGGGCGCGGCGCTGGCCACGCTGCGCGCCGAGCTGGTCGAGGAGCGGTCCGCGGCCGCGGCGCTGCTGGGCACGCTGCGCGCATGCTGCGCCGACGCCGCGGCTGCGCCCTGGGTCTCGGGCCCCGACGCGGCCGCGGCGCCGACGCCGGGGCGCGTCGCGGACTCGTCGGGGCCCGCCCTCGTCGAGTGGCTGCACGCCGTGGTGCACGCCGCGGCGCAGCGCTGCGAGAGCCTGCAGGCCGCGCAGGGCGCCGGCGCCCTGCGCGCGGCGGCGCTGCAGGCCCAGCTGGATGGCCTGCGTGACGAGTGCGAGCGGCTGCACGGCGCCGCGCACGACGCCGAGCGGCAGGTGGGCAGGGATTCTTTGGCAGGGGTTGGGCCGAACGGTACCGAGGCTGCCTGACTGTGGGCCAACCTGCGGCCGCATCATTCATTCTACCTCTCCACGTAAGGTGTGGATGCTTGCTCTTCGTGACGCCTGACTCGCCCTCTCCCTCATCAGGTGGCGGCCTGCCGGTCCCAGCTCGCCCAGAGCCAGGAGGCCCTGGCGGCGGCGCGCGGCGAGCTGGTGGGCGCCCGGGCCGAGACCGCCGCAGGGATGGCGGAGCGCGAGGCGGCGACGCGCGAGGTGGCAGACGCCCGGCAGGCGCAGCGCGACGCCGAGGCCGCCGTGGCGGAGGCCGGCCGCCGGCTGGCCGTGGCTGAGGAGGCGGTGGCGACCAAGGAGGCCCGCCTGCGGGAGATGCGGTGGGTGGCGGGAGCTGCCTGCGGTGCAGGATGTGGGAGTGAAGGTGGAGAACGGGGCGCGGTGGCAGGTAGCATGTGGTGCATCACTCAGACTGTGCCTGGGTGCATTTACAAAGTGCCATGCCATGCGATCCATCCGCGCCGCACCCACGCAGGCGCGCCATGGCCGAAGCCCTGGACGAGCGGCGCGACGCAGCGGCCGCGGCGGAGAAGGAAAGGGCGGAGCGGCGGGAGATCGAGCGCCAGCACTGCACGCAGGCCGCCGGCCTGGTCGGCGCCATGCTGGCCGGCCTGCGCTTGAGCGCCGGCCTCCTGACCGCCGGCGACGCCGCAGCGGGCAGCACAGGGGATCGCGCAGCAAGCGCGGAGGAGGACATCACGAGCGGCAGTGCCGAGGCCGCCTTCCTGGCAGGGCTGCAGCAAGCCGCCGAGGTGCTGGCCCGCCCGGGCGCCGCCGAGGACGAGGGGCTCGGGCCCATGCAGTGCCTGACTGGCACGCTGAGCCTGTTGTGCGACGCCGTGTCCCACTACGCCTCGGTCTGGAGGGACTGGGTGCAGGTGTGTGTGGGGCAGAGAGGGTCCCCAGAGTGTTACTGGGGGGGAGTGGGGGGGGGGGTTCTCGACCCCACGACAGCACCGGAGCCCCTGCGGGGATGCTGCCACCCACCCATCACCACCGTCGGCATGGATTCACGGTCTGTTTGTACCACCACCCATAACATCAGGCCCAGGCCATGCTGCGAGACATCCACACCAAAGTGGAGGCGGCGGCAGCTGTAGTGTCGACGCCCGCCCTTTCAGTGCCGTCGCCGGGGTCTAGTCCAGGTGGGCCTGGGCTCCGGCGCGAGGGGGCGCCGGTCACACTCGTGCGCCAGCTGAGGCGGCTGGCGTCCTCGGTGCTGCGCGCGCTGGAGTTGCTGCAGGCCGAGCGGGAGGGCGCCCGCTCCGCCCTGCTCAGCTCCGCCGACCAGCGAGACGAGCTCCTGGACAAGGTGGGTTGCATGGTGGGCCGTCGAGGCAAGGAGGGGAAGGGAAGGGGGCGGTCTGAGGTTGGTAAATCTGTACTGGAGAAGGGGGGGCCTGGGCACATTGTCATTGGATGAAGCTCTGCTGAACCCCCCCTGCCCATGGGGACATGGCGATGCCAAGCACAGTTGACTGGGCTGCTGCTAGCTTGCGCAGATCCGAGACTTGCCGTTTCTGTTGTAAGACAACCAACTCCGCGCTTCCTTCAATCCCACCCAGATTCGGCAGCTGGAGCAGTCCCTCGTCACAGATCAGCCTGAGCCTGGCCAGCGGCCAGGGTCGAATTATGCTCAGGCTGAGCTGGAGGCGGCCAGGGACCAGGTCCTGGCGCTGGAGCAGGAAAATGCTGAGCTGGAGGGCCGCTGCGCTGGGCTGGAGGGCAGACTGAGGGAGGAGAGGGCCAAGGCCACCAGCGACTGGGCAGGTAGCGGCTGCTGGTGTTGGATGGCGGACTGAGTCTTCGGTGCTTGAAACAAGTGAGGGCAGGACAGGCTAAAGAGGGGTGGTGCTACCGTGCTTCCCAGTGCACGCATCCTCATCCCATCCCATTTAACCCCAATTGCAGTGGTGCGACGGGACATTGCAGAGCTGGTATCCGCTGTCGAGGCCGCCCAGCTGGACGCGCAGCGCGCGGTGCAGAGCGCTCGGCGCGAGTCCCAGCGCGCCACGTCGGCGTCCCTCCTCACCACCCCTTCCCCCCTGCGCTCCTTCAATGCGTGATTGGCTGGAGGGCGACACGACCCCGCACTACCGCAAGGAGTCCTGATGCCGCGGCGGCGCAGCGGCGGCTGCAGGCACCCTTGCCGTTGGTCCGTCAGCCGGTGCCGCCCTGACCCAACATCTCAACTCAAAAACTCCCTGCCTGCCCTGGCCCCCACTCGCGACCACATACTACACATGATTCATGTATCATCATGGCGTTTGCCCCCTGCACGCGCAGGCATGGTGCACCAGACGTGCAGCAGGGGCCGGCAATGCTTGCAACAAAGATAGTTAGTCGTGGGCAGGGGCGCCGCAGCATGACAATGGTTTTATTATCCAAACACGCTGCGAGCCTGGCTGCTCACCGCATGCGGGGTCGTCGACTGGTGTCCCATTCACATGCGTACGAGGCTGGGCCGCGCCACACTCCGACCCAGGCACCCCTTCCCTGCAAGGCCATCCAAGCATCGCCGCCTACTTGATGTCATCCCAGTACTTTTCGGCGGCGTGGCAGTTGCCGTCGTAGTCGGCGAGCCAGGGGTGTGCAGCAGCGACGCGCTTGCCCCGCGCACTCCCCACCCCGCCCAGGCGCTCGAGCAGGCGCGGCCCATTGAAGCAGGCCGCCCCCGCCTGCGGCTTGACCTTGAAGTCCTGCAACGCGGCGTAGGCCGCCAGCAGGTCGCGCGTGTACACCACCGCGTCTTCCAGCCGCACATTCCCGTGCAGGAAGTCGTAGCCCGCCCAGGCGATCTCCCAGGGCGTGGCCGCGCTGCCCCAGGAGTAGGTACCGTTGGCGTCAGGGGCGGGCACGTCGTCCTCGCTGGCGCCGGCCAGCAGCGCTGCGGCGCCTGGGCTGCGCCGCAGCTCCGCCAGCGCGCGGGCCAGGCTGGGCGTCTCCTGCTTGGGCCCACGCAGCGCGCTCTGGCCCACCGTGGAGAAGAGAGTGTTCATGTCGCGCACCGCGGCGGCCGTCTCGTTGCACACGTGGTCCTCCTCGTTGGTCAGCTGCACGTAGTCGCGCCCGGGCTGCAGCCCGCGCGTCCAGAACTCCCAGTACTCCATGCGGAAGGCCACCACCAGGGAGCCACAGGCCAGCTTGTGCTTGAGGTCGCGCGACACGCCCAACGCCTCGACGTGCACGTCATACCGGAAGTCGCAGACCTCCTGCAGCGCCACGGGCGAGTGCTGGACGTTGAACAGCACCGACTCGGAGGGGCGCTCCTCGGCGGACATGCGTCGCCCGCACTCTGAGAAAGCGCGCCTGAAGTGGTGGTGGGAAAGGGGGGGGGGATGAGGGGGAGGAAAAAGAAGCGGTGGGTCGAGAACGGGTGCGGTGGTATGGCCTGGGGAATCGGTCCTCCTTTGCTATCAAAGAGCCTCGCTTAGTCAACCCGCCCATCAGCACTCAGCGTCTTCCCCCCATCACCCCCCATCCAGCAGCCAGTACCTGAGCTGGCCGCGCTCGGGATGCTTGGCGTCCAGAACGTCGCCGCGCCACATGGCCTGGGGCACCCGAACCAGCAGCGAGGTGTTGGAGTACTTTTCCTGCATCAGGTGGGAGGCCTCCTGCCAGCTCACTACCTCCTCGCCGTCCACACCCTGCATGGGGGGTTGGGTGTTGAGGAGGAAGTGAGAGGGGAGGCCAGGGGCGATGTGAGAGGGTGCAGGACGCAGGGCTGTGGCCAGGCATTCAGGTTTGAGGCACATGGAAGACAGAGCGCCAAATGGCTGGAATCCCGCCCCAAGAGCCCTATGGCTGGACATGAGTCATCTCACGCATCCCATCCACACCAACTCCCCACACCCGCCCCCTTCCCTTGCTCCCCACTGCGACACCTCAGCACCTGGATGAGCTGGAGCTCGTCCACCCACAGCGTGTAGTCAGGCAGCGGGACGTCAAAATGGCGTACCGAGCCCTGGACGCCCAGCAGGACCTGGGGGGGCCCGCCATGCATCCACTTCTTGCGCATGCAGGGCACGTCGCCCGCGTGGACCACCGCATCCACGTCAGGGATCTGTGGTTTCAAGGTGGGGGAGGTGAAGTGAGGGTGACGAGCATTGGAGTGGGGCACCCTGGGATGCAAAGTCATAGAGAACGGTGACGCCACCGTCGGTGGTAGCCTGGTGTAGTCCTGCCCATAGCATTCTGGCATTGAGCCACCTACTTCCCCCACCCCCCACGCACACACACCTGGGCCCCAAAGACGCTGAGCGCGTCCATGATGCCCAGTAGGACGTAGTCCAGATTCCGCCACTCCTGATCTGCGCGAGTGGAGGGTCAGGGAAGACAGGGATGGGTTCACCAGACACAGGCGCTCGGCCCCGCCATGTCCTCAGGCCACTCGCACATCGTGTCGCGAAATGCAAGGCACGGCACATTCACCTGTGGTGGTGTTGGGCGCGTCCAGCCGCGTCACCCACAGGCTGCCGCGGGAGATCTGAATGCGGGCCATGGGCGTCTCGCAGATGGTGCTCATGGCCGTCGAGAAGCCCAGCAGCTCCTGCGTGATCCCTGACGCGGCCCAGGGCTGCAGGTCAGAGTCGATGAAAGACTTGTACTGGGAGGTCCTGGAGAGCAACTGTTGTACGAGGGGGTGGGGTTGGTGGGGCTACTGCAGCACGGCCTCGGGCCCGTGCACCTCGTCATGCCAGGCCAGATTGAATCCTGGCGAGCCAGGCCAGCCACCAGGCTCCCCCACCAGCCTCACCGTGTCCTGGTAGGTGAGGTTGGTGTGGTACTGCCCAGCCATGGCTGAAGGCGGGACACTGTGCTTGAGGTAGGCATGGGAGTTTGGTGGGGGGATGGCGTAGTTCTGGGGGTGGTGCGAGGTCTGGTACCAGCGGTCGGACAGGGTCTGAACCCCCCCCTGCAGCGGCGTCGACCACAGGTGCAGGGTGATCGCCAGCAGCGCCAGCGAGGAGCAAACAAGGATGGGAATGCGGAAGCGGGACAGGCCCTTCTTGGAGCTGCGTGTGGGAGCCCGCAGCATTGCCACGCCCGTCTGCGTCAGGTGCTCGGCAGCGGGGTGGTTGGCGGAAAGTGTCTGGGGCGGCAAGAGGGTGCTGCGCGCGCGTTAGTGCCCTGAGTTGTTGATATAATGATGTCAGTGAGCCGTTCCAAGTTTGCAACAGGCAGCGGACAGGGCCGATCTCCGTGCGGGAGACCAGGTTTCTCAGGGCTTCGCCTGGCCCATGAACTGGCCTTGGACCGCCTGTACCAATCGTTTGTGGGCGCTGTGCTACGGAGCACCGACGACAAATGCTTTCAGGCAATGAGTGCCCTGGAACCGACCAATTTACTGTGGTTGCACCTTCCCATGAGCCGTTCAGGTGGGGAGGTCCCCCACGTGGGCAATGAGCGCGGAGGCCTTCGCGGGTCGTGCATTCAACTCACACTCCGATCTCGACCCGCTTTCTAGGGGTTTCGGGACATGTCGCGCATCCCAGGGAGGAAGATCCCGCATCGTGTGCAACACCATTCCAATAAGCATATCGCTAGCATCGAAGGATTGCTGTCTGTGCTTCCAAAAACCCCGCTACAGAACTTACGGGATGTCCCAACATGCTTGCTTGCTAGCCGTGCAGTCTCCGACACCCCTGTCGCAATGGCGATGCGGCACCCTTACTGGTTCCCCAGCCCGTAGACACCCAAAGCCGTTTATTAACCTATCCACACATCGGATTTACCGTGTCTGGCGGTCCAATGGGGGCCCGTGTGATGACACGCATGGGGCAGGAGGGTCTGGTCACAGCGTGATAGTGCGATCCGCCCAAGCACCTCCCACCACTAACGACGAGGTAAGTAGTGGGGATGCACTTGCAATGCATGTCCAAGCCGATCACCCGTTGGAAAGGTCTATCAGGACGCCCAGCTTGGTCCTCCCTCCCTCCCCAGCAGCTGCCCAAGGAGGCGGGCTTTAGCCATGTCATGCTAGCAATTCTGGACAGCAACAAGGGCTTCAGCACCGCTTCCCTGCAAGCGCTCCACACGGCGGGTGACTTGGCGGCTCAGAACAGGTGTGGTTGGTGGGGATGGGGGTGAGGTGTTGGAATCGAACAGTGCGGTGCTCGTCATCGACAGGGTGCCCTGCTGCGGCTTGGCGAACCAGCACGTGCCTTCACCGCGACCGGCCGCTGTCCACCTTCCAACAGAGCGAAGCTTACGGTGATGTTTTTGGATGACAAGGACGCCTCGCAGCTGGATGGCAAGGTCGACAAGGTGAAGAGGTGAGACTAGGGACTGACAGCGTCAGGCAGGATTTTGGTGTTGCAGGTTTGTTAGGCAGCGCACGACGCCACAAGTGCTCTATTTGACGAGTTCTGGGTGCGTCCTGGCTACCGCATGTGACCTCGTCGCGGACCACTTTTGAAGCCACTTGCCTCCCATGACCCACACACTCCTGCCTGTGGGTGGCCCCCCAGATTCGCGTTGTCCACTCATCGCACCCCTGGTCCCCCTCACCTGAGCTCTCTCGCCCGCCCACCCACGCAGCGAGCTGGCCGGCAAGGCGCTGCAGGGCCTGGACTTTGCCGAAGAAACCGTGGCGTACACCGAGGGCAAGAGCTGTGTGGCCCTGGGCGAGGCGGTGGACGCCGTCAGCGCCGACGTCCTGGTCCTGGCCTCGGCCGAGGTGCACGCCGGGCGCCTGGACGCCAACCTGCTGGCCGAGTTCGTGGACTGCCCCCTGCTGCTCCTCCCTTGAGGCGGCGGGGCGGCAGGGAGTGGGCCGCGCCCACACCAACCCTCGAGGACGAGGTCTGCTTTGTGCACCCTCCTCGCAACCTCTTGATACACTGAGCAGTCCAGGCCTGCACGTCCTTCACTCCGCGTACCTCCCCCTTGCTTTCCCAGCCCTGCATCCAGGGGCTACAGCCTGTGCACTGGATTTGTCTGGCGTGGTGCGTGTTACACAAGATCAACTGTACAGTGTGATACGCGTCTACCCTAGTGCAAGGACAGGCATGCCAGCACTTCTAAGAAGAGGATCTAGCTCATGCGTGCGGGGCGAGGCTCGGGTGCCGCGCCCACGGGGCGCGAGGATGCGGGGCGCCGACGCCTCTCTGACAACCCCCCCTCCGGGGGCGGGCCGGGGGAAGGCTGAGGAGGGGCGAGAGGGGGCCGAGCCCCGCCAGCGCCCCGCGGGGTCCTCAGCGGCAGCAGGGCCCCGACATGCACCAAGCATTCTCTACTCCTAGAGACATAAACCGATATGAGGAGCTGATGGGGGGGATTTCGGCACGGGGCACTCATAGGCAAGTTCGGGGGAGGGGTGTGTGGACTGCATTCATGAGCCAAAAGGGGGCTGAAATGAGAGACACGGAAGGGACGTGCGGGAGGGTGAGGTAATATGCGCCGTGGTACGCAGCGAGGGCCTCGGGCGAGGCTGGCGCGGCGGCGCCGAGGGCGTGCCTGGAGGGGTGACAGCGGCGTAGCGCCCCGCACAAGGCGGTCTGCCGATCTGTTCTCCGGGCGGGCACGAGATGTCGCCGCGCCACTATCATCCATCGCGCCGTGGGGATCCATGCGCCGCCGCGGCGGCAAGCCATGCGGGGGGTGAGGGGTCCGCCGCCGCCTTGCGGCGCGGGCGGGGCCCCCTGGCGGCGCTCGAGCACTCGAGCGCCGCGCCCCGATCAGACGTTGATGAAGCTGCCGCAGATGGGCGACTGGCGGTAGATGCCAAACTTCTGCAGGCACAGCTCCCACATGCCGTCGTCCAGCTGCGACACCCCGGCCAGCGCGCCTGGTGGTGGTTTGAATGGGGGAAAGGGGGTGGGTTGAGGCCGTGTGCACGCGCGCGGGGGCGGGTGGCAAGGGGGTGGTCAGCGGCGGTGGACCTCGAGGGCAGGGACCCATGTGCGCCTCAAAGACTCTCCCCATCCGAGTAGGGGAGGACGCAGTCACAGTGGCTGAAACTGCCCCCCTCACCAGCCGCCCCCCCCCCCACCTCACACACCTATGTATCCGGCGTTGCTCTCGATGCCGACGCGGGTGGCGGTGCTGTCGCGCACATCGGCAAAGTCGTCGCTCCTGCCGGAGCCATACACAAGCGAGCCCTCCAGCACATGCGTGTCCTCCTCGGGCGATAGCAGCCCCGTCACGCGATTGCACACCTGTGTTGGGAGGCGGGGTTTGGGAGGCGGGGTTAGGGAGGCGGGGTTTGGGAGGCGGGCGCCGGGAATCGGTCCTCGGCGATGCAACATGGTGCCAGCTCTTCAGGCTACGGCCTCGACTGGCACACGTACCCCTTCCCCAAACTCCCCCCCCCCCCCCCCCAACCCACC